ATAATTTTATTAATCTATCCCTATCTATCCCTATTAATATAAAATCATATCGCCGCCGCCGCTGTTTCAGAAAGTTTTAAGGGACCCTTATAGTAGGGGGAACATAGTCATGGTTGGCCCACTGTCAAGGTAGGTCCATCGTCAGAAACAAGTTATATTTGACCTAAATTCAGGTTAATTTAAGGGCAGTTTTAACCTACAGGCCAAAATTACTCAAAATTTAGGTCAATTTTAAGGGCAGATTCAACCTACAGGTAGAAAACTAACAAAATAACCCCTCTGCCCTCAAAATTTAAGTCAATTTTAAGAGTAGTTATGACTTAAAGTTAAAAATTGACAAACTTATTGCTCTGCTTTCAAAATTTAGTTCAATTTTAAGGGCAGTTTTGACCTAAGCGTTAAAAATTGCGTTTTACTCTGACAGTACAATTTATGTCAATTTTAAGGGCAGATTTAACCTACAGGTAAAAAATTGACAAACAATTGCCTCTGCCCTCAAAATGTAGGTCAATTTTAAGAGCAGTTTTGACCTAAACGTCAAAAATTCACAAATAATTCCCTCTGACCTCAAAATGTAGGTCAATTTTAAAGGCAGTTTTAATCTACAGGTCAAAAATTAACAAACAATTCCCACTGCTATCAAAATTTAGGTTAATTTGAAGGGCAGTTTTAACCTTCAGGTAAAAAATTGACAAACAATTCCCTTTACCTTCAAAATGTAGGTCAATTTTAAGGGCAGTTTTGACCTTAACGGAAAAAATTGACGAACAATTCCCTTTGCCCTCAAAAATTAGGTCAATTTTAAGGTTAGTTTTCATATACACCGCAAAAATTGTCGAAAAAACTTCCTCTGACCTGACCTTTTCTTAAAATTTAGGTCAAATTTGACATATTTTTTAGCCTATACATGAAAAAAGCAAATTAATTAGGATTTTTTAAAAAGTCGTACCTTTATATTTAAGTTTGACGGAATTTTCGACCTATTGGTTAAAAGAAGTTTGACCTAAATTTCAATATTAAGTTTCAATCAATAAAAGATGTTATAAATTGACATATTTTTTTTTTAAATTCTATTAAAATTATTTTTCTGTTCTCAAAATGTACTTTAATTTTAATGGCAGTTTTTTCCTACAAGTTAAAATTTGACCAGAAATCTCCCTCTGATCTGATATTTTCTTAAAATTTAGATCAATTTTAAGGTCAGTTTTGACCTACACGTCAAAAATTGACAAGAAAATTCCTTCTGACCTACTGTTTCCTCAAAATTTAGGTCAATTTTAAGGTCAGTTTTGACCTACGGGTAAAAATGAAGCCCACAAACGTCTATTATTTTACGTCGAAATCTTTAGTCCGTCCATAAATTACATAAGACATTTAGGGGGGAAGGGGGTCAGCAAGATCTTGCGAACAATAGGAAAAATGTCCGGTTGCATAGATATTGCCCGCGTCGACTCACCACAAGTGCAATCTCGCAACCAAAAGAAAATTGCGCGAATCAGACGCCGCGATTTTCAGTAAAAACAAAAGCAAAAGAATTTTCGCTTGACGGATGTTTTGTGATTCGAAAGAGGAATAGCTCCGCCGGTAGTTTGTAAGTAAATAAGTATCGTTTCAATCACATATTCTAACACACATACACTTTCTTTTTGTAACACACTATAACCATTCTGTATTCAAAAGGTATTTTGCTATTTAAAAATAAATCATGTATTCATAAAATCAATTTCTTTATACTTACCTAACTAAACCTAAAATTCAAAATCATTTAAAAAATAGTGCATTTAATGAATCAGAAGGTAACTTTTAAAAGTAGGATAACGTCCCCACAAAATTAAACAGAATAATTAAACATTCTGGCAGCTTGGTGCCTCCCCAAATCGAGATAAAGGGCCATCTTAAAAGCCTAATTTATAAATTTATTTCTGGTTTGTAACAAAATGTTTTTATAAAAATATGAAATGGTTTAGGTATTTAAATTAATTAATGCATAAATTATTTAATTTTAATTTAGTGATAAAAGTAAGAAGGGTTTCCTTTTTATAAGTTAATAACTTTTGTGCGTTTGTCGCAAGATTAGTAAATCGATCAAAGTTAATTAATTCTAAACTATAAATATAAAATCCTATAACTATTATAATTATCCAAGTTTTATACTTGTTAAATTAGCATATTGCTTAGTCTATTAAGATAATAATTTGTTATTATTATTGATTATTAAATTTGAACCAACTAATCAGCTAATAACTAATAACCAATCAGCTTAACAATGTTATCTCACTTACCAATTTCCACCAACCCCGAGTTCTTGGCTGGCCCGGTCCCAGCCAGTCATGACATTGTAGAAAGGTTAATTTCAGTCCCGCCTTTACTGGTTGGAAGCCTACCTTTGGGGAAAAGGAAGGCAACTCTTTTAGGAATCTAAAAAAAAGAGGGGGTGAGGCATTAGTTTCTCTAACAAATCAAAGGATCAGTGATAAATACCACAACCTAGAAACGTAAACGCACCTTATCTTGGGCTCCTCTAAATCTGGCAGCCCACCTTCTACGAGCTCCAGTTGTGGGAGGGAAACATGCACGTCCACTGGATTCCTGAAGCACTTCTAAAAAAAATTTTTTTTCTTTAAATTCATGTGTATCCCTGCAACTGTTTGCACTTTCAAAGAATTAAATTCAAAATTTCAAGGTTAAGTGTTGCATAAAACACACTGGAAACGGTCTAACAAGTGAATATCTTACCGGGGCCTAGAATCCACGAACCAAATAGTTACGATCCAACTCGTCCCAGTAAAACTCCTGAAGCCAGGTTTGTGGGTTATGTAGCTTGGGACGACAGAGCAACAAATTCGGCAGAAAGGGCCAAAACCCGTCATCATCGTCTTTAATAGGTGCAAGAGTCCATTCCCCAAAGTCGACCAGGAATCTAAAAGAAAGATAAAATAAATAAATAGACTATACAAGTGTACGGTTATTGACAACAATTCGTTAGCAGGGCTCGAACTAGGTTCGTAAATCCCGTGGAAGTCCGTTCTTTAAGGGGCCCGTAAAGTACGTAAATTACACGATATAATTAAAAAACAATAATAATATTTTTAAATTCTTGGAGGAATTTCAATTGTTTTTATGAGTGGTGAAGCCGATTGCGGGATTTTGGTTGTTTTTGATACAATTTTGGTCGAATTCCTCGAGGGTGTAATTGTTCTTAGAATTTTTGAATAAGGTTGTCAGAGATGTTTAATTGTTTTAATAACCTCTGCTAAGATTTGTTTATTGAAATTTAAATATTGCTTTAATAATTTTCAATTATATTTCTTAAAAAAAAATTTTTTTGAAAATAATGTTTTCTTTTGATAATTTTAAAAATTTTAAATTTAAGTTTTAATTCTTTGAAGATAACCTAAAAAGTAAGATTTGCAGAGAACTATTTTACAGTAAAACAAATAGAGTAAAAGAAAAAAAATGAAATAATTTTTTATAATAATGTTGAACTTGAACATAAGTATTCTAAATTAATTTACTGTTTTTTTTGCTTTAGACCACCAAAGAAATAGTTGAAATGGAAGCTGGCTGTGAGAACGTTGAGGGTGCATTGTTGGAATCAACGACAGCGGTAAGTTTTTTCTGATAATTTTTAATAATAAGTAGTAAAATTAACAGAATCTGAAGCTAGTCACAAATAATTTCAATAACAATTAAATTATTCTTCGGAAATTATAGAAAAATTTAAATTTAAGTGTCAATTCTTTAAAGATAACCTAAAAAGTAAGATTTGCAGAGAACTATTTTGCAGTAAAACAAATAGAGTAAAAAAAGAAAAAATGAAATAATTTTTTATAATAATGTTGAACTTGAACATAAGTATTCTAAATTAATTTACTGTTTTTTTTGCTTTAGACCACCAAAGAAATAGTTGAAATGGAAGCTGGCTGTAAGAACGTTGAGGGTGCATTGTTGGAATCAAAGACAGCGGTAAGTTTTTTCTGATAATTTTTAATAATAACTAGTAAAATTAACAGAATCTGAAGCTAGTCACAAATAATTTTAATAACAATTAAATTATTCTTCGGAAATTATAGAAAAATTTAAATTTAAGTTTTAATTCTTTGAAGATAACCTAAAAAGTAAGATTTGCAGAGAACTATTTTACAGTAAAACAAATAGAGTAAAAGAAGAAAAAAATGAAATAATTTTTTATAATAATGTTGAACTTGAACATAAGTATTCTAAATTAATTTACTGTTTTTTTTGCTTTAGACCACCAAAGAAATAGTTGAAATGGAAGCTGGCTGTGAGAACGTTGAGGGTGCATTGTTGGAATCAACGACAGCGGTAAGTTTTTTTCTGATAATTTTTAATAATAAGTAGAAAAATTAACAGAATCTGAAGCTTGTCACGAATAATTTTAATAACAATTAATTATTCTTCGGAAATTATAGAAAAATTTAAATTTAATTGTGAATTATTTGAAGATAACCTAAAAAGTAAGATTTGCAGAGAACTATTTTGCAGTAAAACAAATAGAGTAAAAAAGAAAAAATGAAATGATTTTTTATAATGTTGAACTTGAACATAAGTATTCTAAATTAATTTACTGTTTTTTTTGCTTTGGACCACCAAAGAAATAGTTAAAATGGAAGCTGGCTGTGAGAACGTTGAGGGTGCATTGTTGGAATCAACGACAGCGGTAAGTTTTTTTCTGATAATTTTTAATAATACGTAGAAAAATTAACAGAATCTGAAACATGTCACAAATAATTTTAATAACAATTAAATTATTCTTCGGAAATTATAGAAAAATTTAAATTTAAGTGTCAATTATTTGAAGATAACCTAAAAAGTAAGATTTGCAGAGAACTATTTTACAGTAAAACAAATAGAGTAAAAGAAGAAAAAAATGAAATAATTTTTTATAATAATGTTGAACTTGAACATAAGTATTCTAAATTAATTTACTGTTTTTTTTGCTTTGGACCACCAAAGAAATAGTTGAAATGGAAGCTGGCTGTGAGAACGTTGAGGGTGCATTGTTGGAATCAACGACAGCGGTAAGTTTTTTTCTGATAATTTTTAATAATAAGTAGAAAAATTAACAGAATCTGAAACTTGTCACAAATAATTTTAATAACAATTAAATTATTCTTCGGAAATTATAGAAAAATTTAAATTTAAGTGTCAATTATTTGAAGATAACCTAAAAAGTAAGATTTGCAGAGAACTATTTTACAGTAAAACAAATAGAGTAAAAGAAGAAAAAAATGAAATAATTTTTTATAATAATATTGAACTTGAACATAAGTATTCTAAATTAATTTACTGTTTTTTTTGCTTTAGACCACCAAAGAAATAGTTGAAATGGAAGCTGGCTGTGAGAACGTTGAAGGTGCATTGTTGGAATCAACGACAGCGGTAAGTTTTTTTCTGATAATTTTTAATAATAAGTAGTAAAATTAACAGAATCTGAAGCTAGTCACAAATAATTTTAATAACAATTAAATTATTCTTCGGAAATTATAGAAAAATTTAAATTTAAGTTTCAATTCTTTGAAAATAACCTAAAAAGTAAGATTTGTAGAGAACTATTTTACAGTAAAACAAAAAAGTAAAAGAAGAAAAAAATGAAATAATTTTTTATAATAATGTTGAACTTGAACATAAGTATTCTGAATTAATTTACTGTTTTTCTTGCTTTAGACCACCAAAGAAATAGTTGAAATGGAAGCTGGCTGTGAGAACGTTGAGAGTGCATTGTTAGAATCAACGACAGCGGTAAGTTTTTTTCTTATAATTTTTAATAATAAGTAGTAAAATTAACAGAATCTGAAGCTAGTCACAAATAATTTTAATAACAATTAAATTATTCTTCGGAAATTATAGAAAAATTTAAATTTAAGTTTCAATTCTTTGAAGATAACCTAAAAAGTAAGATTTGCAGAGAACTATTTTGCAGTAAAACAAATAGAGTAAAAAAGAAAAAATGAAATGATTTTTTATAATGTTGAACTTGAACATAAGTATTCTAAATTAATTTACTGTTTTTTTTGCTTTGGACCACCAAAGAAATAGTTAAAATGGAAGCTGGCTGTGAGAACGTTGAGGGTGCATTGTTGGAATCAACGACAGCGGTAAGTTTTTTTCTGATAATTTTTAATAATAAGTAGAAAAATTAACAGAATCTGAAACATGTCACAAATAATTTTAATAACAATTAAATTATTCTTCGGAAATTATAGAAAAATTTAAATTTAAGAGTCAATTATTTGAAGATAACCTAAAAAGTAAGATTTGCAGAAAACTATTTTACAGTAAAACAAATAGAGTAAAAGAAGAAAAAAATGAAATAATTTTTTATAATAATGTTGAACTTGAACATAAGTATTCTAAATTAATTTACTGTTTTTTTTTTGCTTTAGACGACCAAAGAAATAGTTGAAATGGAAGCTGGCTGTGAGAACGTTGAGAGTGCATTGTTAGAATCAACGACAGCGGTAAGTTTTTTTCTGATAATTTTTAATAATAAGTAGTAAAATTAACAGAATCTGAAGCTAGTCACAAATAATTTTAATAACAATTAAATTATTCTTCGGAAATTATAGAAAAATTTAAATTTAAGTTTCAATTCTTTGAAAATAACCTAAAAAGTAAGATTTGCAGAGAACTGTTTTGCAGTAAAACAAATAGAGTAAAAAAAGAAAAAATGAAATGATTTTTTATAATAATGTTGAACTTGAACATAAGTTTTCTAAATTAATTTACTGTTTTTTTTGCTTTAGACCACCAAAGAAATAGTTGAAATGGAAGCTGGCTGTGAGAACGTTGAGGGTGTATTGTTGGAATCAACGACAGCGGTAAATTTTTTCTAATAATTTTTAAAAATAAGTAGTAAAATTAACAGAATCTGAAGCTTGTCACAAATAATTTTAATAACAATTGAATTATTCTTCGGAAATTATAGAAAAATTTAAATTTAAGTGTCAATTCTTTGAAGATAACCTAAAAAGTAAAATTTGCAGATAACTATTTTGCAGTAAAACAAATAGAGTAAAAAAAAGAAAAAATGAAATGATTTTTTATAATAATGTTGAACTTGAACATAAGTATTCTAAATTAATTTACTGTTTTCTTTGCTTTAGACCACCAAAGAAATAGTTGAAATGGAAGCTGGCTGTGAGAACGTTAAAGGTGCATTGTTGGAATCAACGACAGCGGTAAGTTTTTTCTGATAATTTTTAATAATAAGTAGTAAAATTAACAGAATCTGAAGCTAGTCACAAATAATTTTAATAACAATTGAATTATTCTTCGGAAATTATAGAAAAATTTAAATTTAAGTGTCAATTCTTTGAAGATAACCTAAAAAGTAAAGTTTGCAGAGAACTATTTTGCAGTAAAACAAATAGAGTAAAAAAAGAAAAAATGAAATGATTTTTTATAATAATGTTGAACTTGAACATAAGTATTCTAAATTAATTTACTGTTTTCTTTCCTTTAGACCACCAAAGAAATAGTTGAAATGGAAGCTGGCTGTGAGAACGTTAAAGGTGCATTGTTGGAATCAACGACAGCGGTAAGTTTTTTCTGATAATTTTTAATAATAAGTAGTAAAATTAACAGAATCTGAAGCTAGTCACAAATAATTTTAATAACAATTAAATTATTCTTCGGAAATTATAGAAAAATTTAAATTTAATTTTCAATTCTTTGAAGATAACCTAAAAAGTAAAATTTGCAGATAACTATTTTGCAGTAAAACAAATAGAGTAAAAAAAGAAAAAATGAAATGATTTTTTATAATAATGTTGAACTTGAACATAAGTATTCTAAATTAATTTACTGTTTTCTTTGCTTTAGACCACCAAAGAAATAGTTAAAATGGAAGCTGGCTGTGAGAACGTTAAGGGTGCATTGTTGGAATCAACGACAGCGGTAAGTTTTTTCTGATAATTTTTAATAATAAGTAGTATAATTAACAGAATCTGAAGCTAGTCACAAATAATTTTAATAACAATTAAATTATTCTTCGGAAATTATAGAAAAATTTAAATTTAAGTTTCAATTCTTTGAAGATAACCTAAAAAGTAAAATTTGCAGATAACTATTTTGCAGTAAAACAAATAGAGTAAAAAAAGAAAAAATGAAATGATTTTTTATAATAATGTTGAACTTGAACATAAGTATTCTAAATTAATTTACTGTTTTTTTTGCTTTAGACCACCAAAGAAATAGTTGAAATGGAAGCTGGCTGTGAGAACGTTGAGGGTGCATTGTTGGAATCAACGACAGCGGTAAGTTTTTTCTGATAATTTTTAATAATAAGTAGTAAAATTAACAGAATCTGAAGCTAGTCACAAATAATTTTAATAACAATTAAATTATTCTTTGGAAATTATAGAAAAATTTAAACTTAAGTTTTAATTCTTTGAAGATAACCTAAAAAGTAAGATTTGCAGAGAACTATTTTACAATAAAACAAAAAAGTAAAAGAAGAAAAAAATGAATTGATTTTTTATAATAATGTTGAACTTGAACATAAGTATTTTAAATTAATTTACTGTTGTTTTTTGCTTTAGGCCACCAAAGAAATAGTTGAAAACGATGAAAACGATGCTGGCTATGCGAACGTTGAGAGTAAAGCGGTTGAACTTAAGAAAAAGGTATAGGTTTTACTGAAATTTTTATTATATGAAATTGTGAATTTGAATGACTTTGATATAACATAATGTACATAGTATTTTTTAAATTATATATTAAATTTTAATTTTTCAGCTATTTGTAAATCTGAATAAAATATTCAATGAGGAATATGACCCTGAAAGCCCTGGATTATTTGAAATAAAGGAAAAGGTATCTGCGAAGGCTGATTGTGATAATAATTTAGAAATTTGGTTCAAATCAACGTCGAGCATTTCGAGAATACATAGCTCAGAGTATGCAAGATCTGACAAGCCTACCAAACCGCAACCGTCAACTGGAGACAAAGCTCCTGATGATGGATTGTCGCCCATCGATAGGCTTAGATTAACTATGGCAAGGATTCGAAAGCGAAAGAAAACTGTTAAATTATTAGAGCCACAACCTTTAAAATCCAATCAGAAGAGAGGATCTCCGCGCGACAACTTATACACGGCTATGACAAAGATAATGAAGAAACCAAAAAAATAGAATTTACACTTTTTATCAAAAGAAGATAATTTAAAATTTTAGTTTGTTAAAAAAGTCTTATATTTCATTTTATCATCTTTACAATTTCTGTGATAGAAAGGTTTTTATTTAAAAACTCTTGTAGTTTGTTTTCTATTTTTCTATTTAAATATGTTCTTGCAATTAATAGTTTTTTTCACTCTTTTTTTTCTAAAAAAAGTATTTATTTTAAATTACATAATTATTTTCATTTGTTGTCTATCTTTGATTTTTAAATTCTTTTGCAAATAATGGTTTTTTTAATCGTTTTTTTTTATAAAAAAAATATTTATTTTATATTACATAATTATTTTCATTTGTTTTCTATTTTTAATTTTTAAATTCTTTTGCAAATAATAGTTTTTTTAACCTTTTTTTTTATATAAAAAAAGTATTTATTTTATATTATATAATTATGTTATGTCTTTTTATTGTTTCTATTTCCAATGTACTATATATTCTATTTATACTTTTTTTTCAACCGTTTTTATAAACAAATTTATACATGTGCATATATAGAGTAGAAGGGGGTAATGTAGTGCACTGGCTTTACTGACTAAACGAATGAATTAAATTACTTGCTCTTGGTATGGTAGGGTTAAGGTATCAAATTATAGTAATGTATATCATTTTGGCTTTATTGTGCTTCTTCTAAAAGAAGTTGTGGCGTCACTTCAAAAACACTAGATTTCGAAACCATATTTCCGTTTTTTTAGTGACTTGAAGAAAATGTAAGGCTCGTTAAAAAAGTATCGGGTAAGTGCTTTTTCCATGTAAAATTTACTTCTGAACACAAATTTAGTATTGTTTTGATGTTTAATTTTGTTTTTATTGAGATATTGAAGTCAACGTGAAAAAAGTGCTTGGGGGCATTGTAGTGCACGGGGTTGGGGACAATGTAGTGCAATTATACAGAGTACCGTAAATATGTATTATTTAACCATGTTTGCTTTTTGCAAATTTTTGCAGTTTTCTTTCAGTTTTATCTAACACAGGACCAAAGAAATCTGTAGTTTATAGTACTGTCCACCAGATGAGATGAGATGATACCATGCAAAGTCTAGATCTCGTCTCGGTTTTTACATGCAAAGTCTCGTCTCGTGGTCATCACTACTAGTTTATAGTTTTTTGAGTTTCTTATGTTCCTAATATTATATCTAATAAAATAAAATCGTTTACAATATATTCTCTGCTTTCTATTTCACTAATGAAGTGGTGCACTACATTGCCCCACAAATTTTAGAATGTCGAAAAACAGTGCCTTCATTTTTTTGGATATAGAGAAGCTCCATCTACATCTACAAAAAAATAATGTACACCATAAATGTAGCTAGAAGCATTGTCTTTCCAACGAGTCCTTATTGATCAAAATTGGTTGAAAATTGCGACCACAGGAGTCTTCGAAAGAAAAGTGCACTACATTACCCCCTTCTACTCTAAATAGAAATTATTATTAAAAATATATATTTCTTACATCCTGTTTCATTCTTTTAACGTAATCTTAGACTAATTATGAAATAAAAATAGCCTTAAAATAACAAATAAACAAATCTAAAATTTTACTTTAAAATTAAACAAAAGCTTAAATGTGAATTTAAAATTGACATTAACCTTAATCTTCAAAATTTATATTAAGATTAATCTAATAATAAACACAACAAAACGTAAAGTTTCAAATTTATTTAAAAATTTTTTATCTCTTATTTAATTTTTTTATTTTACAAATAACTTAAAATTCATGATAAACTATTACTTATAACTTCAAGACCTATTTTCCTGAAATTAAATTTGAATGTCGCGCTTCACTCACAGTAGTTATACTCAACTACAACGTGTAGCGCATGCAGCGAAAGTGAATGGTGGGGGACACCACATGGTGGGGAGAGAGAGACCTACGAGGGTGACCGGCATACAGTAGAGAGCTCATTTAGCTCATAGCAGCAGTCTGAGCAGGTCGCGATGGAGAGCTGCTACGAGTGTCAGATGCGGGCGATCTGAATGTATAATGTGAGTATTAAAAATTAAGTATTGAATTAAATATAATCAATTAATTTTTCTTTTAGTTGCAGAATAAAGGGAATGAACTCCCACTTCCCGCAACTCCTCCAGGGCCGACCCAGTCATCCTGCCCGTGGCACCAGCCGGTGAATCCGACATCATCGCCGGAGTCAGTGACGCCATCCAGATCACCGCTGCACGCTATGTACCCTATGTGGCGGCCATTTTCACCACCCTGGGCTCTGGTGGCGCCACTGACCCCAAAAACCCAGGTCGCCGACGCCACCAAGGTCACCGTCACCACGACTAGAGGAAAGGGTGCCACCTGAGCCGAAGACACCGGAGGGACCTCCACCTCCAGAGGTGCAACCCCCACCCGCAGACAATGGTCGGCGCAGGCGTAGGTATCGTCGGCGGTTAATTTAAAATTTTAAAATTATAATTAATAAATATATTTTTTTCATTGTAAGTAAGTATATTTTCTTTTCTCTGCTACCATAAAAATTAGATGTAAAGTATAGAAGAATTAGATGTAGGGTGAGTGAACATGCGCATGAGAAGTAGGAGTGAGGGTAAAATGTATAATACTTGGGAATTTAGTTACTGCGCATGAGTGAGAGGTAGTAGTGGAGTTAAGTAGTCTCATGCGCATTAGGGTGTCCCAAAAAAATTAAAAGTTTTTTTTTATTGGGTCTCATCGCCTAAAAATCTTTCAATTTGTGTAAAAATATGAACACAATATTTGGAAATAAAAAATTTTAATATTAACCCGTTGGTTCAGAGCCTTTGGACTATAAAAACGTTAAAAATTTAGTGTTTTTTTCATTTTTAACATAAATATAAATGTAAAAATATAATGATTAGGGTGTCATTGTAAAGATAATTAAATTACCTTTCGAATCAGCGACTTCAGTATTTTTTTATCACTGATTTTAGTAAGTTTTGTGGTTATATCTAAATTTATTGTTTCAATTTTTGCTCCAAATGTTGAATGAATGATAAGAATAAAAAAAATAGTTTCGTTCACTAAGTCTGGTGTATAATTGTCATTTTCAATCAAATCGAGGTCTACAAGGGCTAAAAATTTTCGTAATGTTACAGACTCTTAATAAAAAAATTAAAACCTAAATATTTTTTACTGTTTAATGTAAAAAAAGTACAAGTTACTTGAGTATCTAAAAAATAAAAATCATCAAAATTTTCATGAAATTTAATCTTTAATCGACTGTAACACTTTTAATTTTCATTGAATCTTATACTATGACATATGGATCAAAAGGTAATTTAATTATCTTTACAATGACACCCTATTCATTATATTTTGATATTTATATTTATGTTAAAAATGAAAAAACACTACATTTTTAGCGTTTTTATGGTTCAAAGGCTGTGAACCACGGGTTAATATTAAAATTTTTTATTTCCAAATATTGTG